GAAATCAATTAAAAAATTGAGAAATTCAGTAATATGTGGATATTAAACACCATCTTAAATAACCAATGAGTCAAAGAAAAAATCAAATGGGACATTATAAATACTTTGAGATGAATGAAAATGAAGAAACAACATAGCAAAATTTATAGAGCTAAAACAATGCTTAGAGGGAACTTTATAGTTGGAAATACCTATATTAAACAAAGAAGATCTCAAAACGATAATCTAATATTTCATAATAAAGCAGTAAGAAATTAAGAACAAACAGTGTAGAGCAGTCAGAGGGATATAATAAAAGTTAGAGTGGAAATTAATGAACTAGAGAATATTAAAACAATATAGAAAATCAACAAAACCAAAACTTGATTCTTTGAAAAGATCAACAAATTGACAAATCTCTAGGTAGTCTGGCCAAAAAAATAGGGAGGAAAATTAAATTACTAAAATCACGAATGAAAGAGGAAACACTGGTACTGAGCTTACAGAAATAAAACAATTACAAGGAAATATTATGAACAATTTTATGCCCCCCAGATTAGGTAACTTAGATTAAATGGACAAATTCATAAGCGATCAAAACTGAATCAAGAAGAAATAGAAAGTCTGAATAGACCTATAACACTTAAAGAGGTTCAATTACTAATAAAAAATATTACTACAAAAAACAAACAAACAAACAAAACACCCAGGCCCAAATGGCTTTAGTGATTAACTCTCCCAAACATCTAAGACGAGTTAATACCAATTCTTCACAATCTCTTCCAAAAAATAGAAGAGGACGAACACGTCTCAACTCACTCCATGATGCCAGTATTATACTGATATCAAACCGGAAAAAGACATCACAACAAAAGAAACTATATACCAATATGTCTTATGAATATAGAGGCAAAAATCCCAACAAAATACAAGCAAAGAGAATCCAGCAATACATAAAAAGGCGTGTACACCATGAACAAGTGGAACTTATCCCAGAAATTCAATATTGGTTTAAGATCAATTAATGTAGTAAGCCATATCAATAGTATAAGGAAAAATGATCATTTCAATAGATTTAGAAAAAGCATTTGAGAAAACTGAACACAGGTTCATAGTAAAAACACTCAACAAACTATGAAGAGAAGGAAAATTCGACAACCTTGTAAAAGACATCTGTGAAAATTCTGCAGCTAGTACCATACTTAATAATGGGAGACTGAAAGCTTTCCTGCTAAGATTAGATATAAGACAAGGATATCTGTTCTTGTCACTTCATTTCAACTTTGTTCCAGAGGTTCTAACTAGAGCAATTAGGTAAGAAAAGACACTGTTCAAAAACGAGGTGAAGAGGGATGCAAAGATGGTTCCATAGCCACAAATCAATCAATGTGATTCACCACGTTAACAACATAAAGAATAAAAACCATATGATCGGAACAGGATAGAAAGCCCAGAGATAAACCCACGCACATATGGTCACCTTATCTGTGATAAAGGAGGCAAGAATATACAGTGGAGAAAAGACAGCCTCTTCATTAAGTGGTGCTGGGAAAACTGGACAGGTACATGTAAAAGTATGAAATTAGAGCACTCCCTAACACCATACACAAAAATAAACTCAAAATGGATTAAAGACCAAAATGTAAGGCCAGACACTATCAAACTCTTAGAGGAAAACATAGGCAGAACACTCTATGACATAAATCACAGCAAGATCCTTTTTGGCCCACCTCCTAGAGAAATGGAAATAAAAACAAAAATAAACAAATGGGACCTAATGAAACTTCAAAGCTTTTGCACAGCAAAGGAAACCATAAACAAGACGAAAAGACAACCCTCAGAATGGGAGAAAATATTTGTAAACAAAGCAACTGACAAAGGATTAATCTCCAAAATATACAAGAAGCTCTTGCAGCTCAATAACAAAGAAACAAACAACCCAGTCCAAAAATGGGCAGAAGACCTAAATAGACATTTCTCCAAAGAAGATATACAGATTGCCAACAAACACATGAAAGGATGCTCAACATCATTAATCATTAGAGAAATGGAAATCAAAACTACAATGAGATATCATCTCACACCAGTCAGAATGGCCATCATCGAAAAATCTAGAAACAATAAATGCTGGAGAGGGTGTGGAGGAAAGGGAACCCTCTTGCACTGTTGGTGGGAATGTAAATTGATACAGCCACTATGGAGAACAGTATGGAGGTTCCTTAAAAAACTACAAATAGAACTACCATACGACCCCAGCAATCCCACTACTGGGCATATACCCTGAGAAAACCATAATTCAGAAAGAGTCATGTACCAAAATGTTCATTGCAGCTCTATTTACAATAGCCAGGACATGGAAGCAACCTAAGTGTCCATCGACAGATGAATGGATAAAGAAGATGTGGCACATATATACAATGGAATATTACTCAGCCATAAAAAGAAATGAAATTGAGTTATTTGTAGTGAGGTGGATGGATCTAGAGTCCGTCATACAGAGTAAAGTAAGTCAGAAAGAGAAAAACAAATACCGTATGCTAACACATATATATGGAATCTAAGAAAAAAAGAAAAAAAAGGTCATGAAGAACCTAGGGGCAAGACGGGAATAAAGACACAGACCTACTAGAGAATGGACTTGAGGATATGGGGAGGGGGAAGGGTAAGCTGTGACAAAGTGAGAGAGTGGCATGGACATATATACACTACCAAACATAAAATAGATAGCTAGTGGGAAGCAGCCGCATAGCACAGGGAGATCAGCTCGGTGCTTTGTGACCACCTAGAGGGGTGGGATAGGGAGGGTGGGAGGGAGGGAGACGCAAGAGGGAAGAGGTATGGGAACATATGTATATGTATAACTGATTCACTTTGTTATAAAGCAGAAACTAACACACCATTGTAAAGCAATTATACTCCAATAAAGACGTTAAAAAAAGAAAACAAAAAAAAAACACCATATGATCATCTCAATAGATACAGAAAAAGCATTTGACAAAATTCAACAACATTTCATGATAAAATCTCTCAAGAAACTGGATACAAAGGTAACAAACCTCTAATAATAAAGGTCATATACAATAAGCCCAGAGCTATACTCAACAGTGGAAAGCTAGAAGCTTTTCCTATAAGATCAGGAAAAATACAAGAATGCCCACTCTCACCACTTCTATTCAATATAGTACTGGAAGTCCCAGGCAGAGCAATTAGCAAGAGAAAGAAATAAAAGACATCTAAATCAGAAAGGAAGAAGTAAAACTGTCTCTATTTTCAGATGACATGATCTTATATATAGAAAATTTTAAAGACTCCACTCAAAAAATGTGATAAGTAATAGGCAAATCCAATGAAGTTGTGGGATACAAAATCATATACAAAAATCAGTTGCATTTCGAAACACTAATAATGATTTATGAGAAAAAGAAATTAAGAAAATAATCCCATTTACAGTAGCATCAGAAAGAATAAAACACCTAGGAATAAATTTAAGAAAGGAGGTCAAAGACCTGCACATGAAAATTATAAGACATTGATAAAAGAAATTAAAAGACACAAATAAATGAAAATGTATTCCATGCTCATGGATTGAAAGAATTAATATTGTTAAAATACTACCATACTACCCAAAAGCATCTACAGATTCAATGCAGTTCCTATCAAAATTCCAACGGTGTTTTTCAGAAACAGAAAAAACAATCCTAAAATTTGTAAGGAAGCACAAAATATTTCAAATAGCCAAAGCGGTCAGAGAATGACAAATACTGTATGATATCACTTTTTTATGTGGAATTTTTAAAAGCCAAATTCATAGAAATTGAGAGTAGAATGGTGATTACCAGGGGCTGGGAAATGGGAGAAATGGGGAGATGCTGGTCAAAGAGTACAAACTTCCACGTAGAAGATGAGTAGGTCTGGGGATCCAATGCACAGCACAGTGATTATAGTGTAATTCTGTATTATCTACTTGAGAATTGCTAAGAGAGTAGATCTTACATGTTCTCACCACCAAAAAGAAATGGTAATTATGTGTCATGATGCAGGTGTTAGCTAATGTTATGGCAGTAATCATTCTGAAATATAAAAGTGTATCAAATCAACACATCATGCACTTTAAACACATACATTGTTATATGTCAATTATACCTCAATAAAGCTGGAGGGTATGGGCAGGGGGCAGAGTGTGTGGGGGGTGACCAGGTGGAGTTCAGTGGGAGTTGGGTTCTTCACTAAAGAGCTGGCAGGAATGGGTGAACATCACACCCCAGCCCATTAGCTTCAGATGAAGTTAATCCCCTCACTATATCCGTGGAAAGTCAGCTCCAGAAGGTTGAAGTGAGTTAGGCAAGATCACACGGTTTGTTAATAATCTAACCAGGTCCAGGGCATGTGTCACCAAAATACTTCTCTCCACACAATGATTGGCTATTTTACTCACCTTTCTCATGACCCTCCTAAGAGGAGAAACAGTCACTTGAGTTGGAGGTACTAACAGAGATGGCTAGGTTAAGCCCTGTATAAAGATTTTCTGTCTTCTGCCGGCTGTCCTATTTTTAATAGCTGGAAAAGCCCTCCTTTTCTTTCAGAATGAAGAGACTTTGCGTGTGATGTTCCTAGCAGGTAGGACCACTTTGGTGGCATTGTCCACTCTGAGGTTCACTCAGAGATTCCTCTCAAATTCCTGGGGAAGGAAGGCCATTTTATTTTGTTTTTTAAAAATGCCTGAAAAGCAAAAGAAAACTGGAGATAAGATTGCTGGTCAAAGGTCAGAAACAAAACGAGTCCTCAGAAACCTAAAGTGCTCTTCCCCACTGAGGTTATAGACCCTGCCAGGGACAAGATGCTGGTGTCACAGGAACCTCTGGAAAACAGTACCATAGCCCAAAGCAGCGGGTGGGATTCGCAATGACAACATTGCACACCCACCACCTCACTGGCCAATGTTTCTGTCTCTTTAAGTCATCACCACTGGCCCCCCCTCCCTGAGCTTCCTGAACTCTGAGGTCTGAGAGGCACAGAGACTTCCTCCATGTGTGGAGAGGAAACCGCCCACTGCACCCACAGTCCGAGGGCAGGCGGTAGGTCAGGAGCTTCTTGGAGCCAGCGTTAGAGCCTGTCGCCAATCCTGCAGGAACAGTGAGCACAAAGGAAAAGGAACCAGCCCGGAGCAGGACCTGTGGGGAACAGGAAGAGCTCTGCCTGTGTGAAGCTGGCTGAGTGAGCAGCTGCGTTCTAGTAAGTTTGTGAAAAGGGGGCAGGATCTAGAAACGGTAACTTCATGTGCCTCTAGGTTTGTAAGGTTTTTCTGAGTGTCAAACACAGTAAGTTCAGAAGAACAGGTAATCTTCTCGAGCTCTGCAGCGCACATGCTCTTCTTTGGGACTAAATTCTCTCTCCTTCCCTACTCCCTTAGTCCTTCTGCTAGAACTACCGCAGAAGGCAATGAACACTCCCCAAATGCATGTGCAGCAAATGCAAAAGATATTCCTGGGGACTTATAAGGGAAGCTAACCTCAGAACAAGTTACAAAGTGAAAATTCTGTATATATCTGAGCTGAACCCTCCTAAAACCTCCACTCTCCTTAGCGCTATCCACAATAGTGCAAGAGACAGCTAAGGTTGTGAACTTGGTCCTCAACCCTTGCCCTACATGATCACTTGAACATCTGCTCCCCACCCCAAACTGGGCTCTGTGGGCTGCTCTGGTGTCAATTAAGGGAGTTTGTTGATTTCTAGACACAAAATAAGGAATCACATTATGTGATTTAGCCCTGGGGTAAACTTTACAGAAGCTTTGGAGGGGTGGGGTGATGGGGGTGGGGTGGGTAACGGAGTAGCGGGGGGCAGCGGCAGGAGAGTTACTGCAGAGACACCCACAGCTTTGGCTTGAGCTCTAGGCAAACCTACCGTCTAAGTCCTTTGGCCAGAGACAGGTTACTCAGCCAACCTCTCCCTTTGCTTTTGCGTCGTTGTTGGTGCCAATAGGGGGAGAACACAGTTACCTGTAGGAACCAGGTGGGCGACCTGAAGAGGTAGAATTTGAATTGGACGTTGAAGCACAGACAGGACTCAGGCAGAAATGTGTGGTGGGATGAATGGTCCACAAGGTGGGTTGGAAAAGGCCCTGAAATCTGCTGTTTGTGGAGGGGCTGACTAGGGAGGGGATTAGGTGGGAATGAGGCTGGAGTAGACTGAGGGGAGACTGTGCTGTCGTGTTCAGGCACTCGTGTGATCAGGCAAACTTGACCACAGAACGTTTAATTGTATTAAATAATGTTGGAGTGGGTATTTTACTTCAAAAAGCCTCAGGTTTGAGGCAAGAACATAAAGAGCTGGAGGGGAGCATCCCAGTCTCTCCAGCACACAGATTATATTTAGACTTATTTATTTACTTATTTTTTACTGAAGTATAATTGACTTACAATATTATATTACTTTCGGGTATACAACATAGTGATTCTGCATTTTTATACTTATGCTCCATATAAAGTTAATATAAAATATTAATTAACTATATTGCCTGTGCTGTGCATTACATTGGTGTATCTTAGTTATTTTATACCCAGTAGTTTGTACCTCTTAATCCCCTTCCCCATCTTGCCCCTTCCCCCACCCCTCTCCCCAATGGTAAACACTAGTTTATTCTCTGTGTTTGTGAGTCTATTTCTGTTTTGTTATATTCCTCTGTTTGCTTTATTTTAAATTCCACATATAAGTGGAAACATACAGCATTTGTCTTTCTCTGTCTGACTTACTTCACTAAGCATAATCCCCTACAGGTCCATCTATGTTGTTGCAGATGGAAAGATTTCATTCTTTTTTATCTTTTTCATTCTTTTTTTATGAGTAATATTCCATTATATCTACCTATCTGTATATATATGACACCTTCTTCATTCATCTGTTGATGGGCACTTAGGTTGCTTCCATATCTCGGTTATTATCAATAATGCTGCTATGAACATTGGGGTGCACACGTCTTTTTGAATTCGTGTTTTCATTTTCTTTGGATATATACCCAGGAATGAATTGCTGGATGATATGGTAGTTCTATTTTTAATTTTTTGAGGAACCTTCATACTGTTTTCCACCGTGGCTGTACCAATTGACATTCCTGCTATCAGTGTACTAGGGTCCCCTTTCTCTACATCCTCGTCAACAACACCAGTTGTTTCTTGTTTTCGGATGACACCATTCTGACAGGGGTGCTCCGTGCTTCCTGTACCTGATATCTGTTTCCCTTTTCAGGTTAGGAAAGTTTTCAATTACAATTTCACCAAATACATTTTCTACCCCTTTCTCTCTCTTTTTCTGGGACCTCTATCATGTGAATGTTAGCACACTTGACCTTTTCCCAGAGGTCCCATAAACTCTCCTCATTTTTTTAAATGTGTTTTTGTTTTTGCTGTACTGATTGGATGATTTCCACTAGTCTGTCTTCTGTGTTCTTCTACATCGCCTAATCTGCTCTTAATTCCTTCTAGCGAATTTTTCATTTCAGTTATCGTATTCTTCAGCTCTGACTGGTTTTTGCATTTTCTAATTCTCTGCCGAAGTTCCCACTGTGTTCATCTGTTTACCCAAGTTCAGTTAGCATTTTTATTACTATTGCTTTGGACTCTTTGGCAGGTAAATTATTATCTCTGTTTCATTAGGGGTTTTTTCCTGGGGTTTTATCTTGTTCTTTCATTTAAAACACATCCCTTTGTTTTCTCATGTTGTTTGACTTTCTCTGTGTGTCTCTATGAAATTAGGTGAAACGGTTACCTGTCCAGGTCTCAAAGGCATGTCCTTGTGGGTAGCAACCCTTTGCAGTGTGCCTGTCACCAGTGGCTTTGGTGGGAGAGCTGGACGTGAAGTGAGCGGGGACTGCTTCTTCTCCCACAGTGTGCTGGCGGCCACCACCTTGGTGGGAAGCAAGGCTGGAGGCAGAGGGCTAGAGGCAGAGCCAGGTGCCAGCCAGGGCTTCTCCTCGGCTCAGGGCTAGTTGTTAGCCTATTGTGGGAGGAGTCAAGGACCAAGGGGCTGGGCAGGAGTCCTAAGGGAGTTGGGCTTCCCCCAGATGTGACGACAGTCTTCACCTTGGCTGGGGGTGTGGCCAGGGCCTGCGAGCCTGAGGCTGCTCTTCTGAGCTGCCTCTACTTTTTCCTCAGTGTGTACCCCTTGGTTGGAGGCAGGATAGAGAGCCAGAGGGGTTGAAGCCACACACCGGAGCTCTCTCTGCTCCTTCCCTGGTGCACACATGCCCACTGGCAATGGCAGCCTCGGCCTTTGTGGGGGGCAGTGCTGGAGCAGTAGGGGCTGGAATGGGAGCCTGGAGAGGGCTGGGAGGTGCTCTGGGGCAGTCCCGGCAGGCTGGCCAGAGCACCAGGCAGTCTTTAATGTACTGCCTCTGCACTGGGACTGAGAGCAAGCATGCTTGTGCTCTTCAAGACCAGAGTGTCAGGTTCTTACAGCCCTCCAGTAAGCCCTACTGATTTTCAAACCAGCTAAGGGGGCTCATCTTCCCAGTGTCAAGCCCAGGCCTGCGGTGCCTAGTAGGTGGCTCAAACTCCCCACTCCGCAGGGAGGATCCCCAAGCCTGGGATCGCCCCTTCCGCTTCTAGGTCCCCACTAGGGACTCAGGTCCCAACTAGATTGCGTCTCCTCCCCTGTACCAGACTCCATGTGGTCCTTTCTTTACAGCCTGATTGTAGAAAAGCCATTTTGCTAGTCTTCAGGTCATTCTCAAAGAGAGTTGCTCTGTACGTAGCTGTAGCTTGGATGTGTTCATGGGGGCAGGTGAGCTCGGGGTCTCCCTCCTCCACCTTCTGGATCCCACCTCCTAGACATATTAGGACGAGCCAAATTTTGTGGTTTTCTGAGCACAGAGTCAGGAGCTTTCCAGGTCAGCTTGGGAAAAATGTCTGTTTTCTGATTTCCAAAACCAAAATTCCAAGTTTCTTCTTGTTTCCCAGGCCAACAACCCTAAGGTAGGTCTTAAGTCAGTGAGCAAACTTTCTTGTTCTCAGGGTTTGACAAACCCCCCACCCCACCCCCAGCTGCTGAACCTCCAGGGAAAACTTATTTTCTACAACTTACGTCACTGACATAGAATTACCTGGGAAAATGAACATCAAAAGCTTATTCATTGACATAGAGTAAGTGTTGTCATCTCCCCTCTGCTCTGTGCATTTCGAGGCCCTGAAAAGACAGCACAAGCTCACCGGGTGTTCTCATAGTATCATCCCAACCACAGACCGAGCTCTTCCACTGTCTTCCCTAAATTCTGATGCTCGGAGAGGGCAGGAACTATGACATTTTCACTGTGGTGTCACCAGCATTTTGGGCTTTGCCTGACACCTAGTAGGTAGTTTTACCGATGAATGAATAATGAACGAGTGAACGAATGAAAAAATAAATAACTTGTGTTGGGGACACTTTCAGGGAATCATGAGAGGACAGAAGACAGCAAGAGATGAAGAAAACGCCTATGGTAAGAACATGCCTCACAACGCGTGTTTGCCCCCAGGTATGAGCTCTGGATAGTAAGGGGGATGGGCTAACTCAAAACTGAACAGAGAGAAGCCCCAGAGGTTTCTCGATGCTGGGATGAAACAGCAAAGAGCCCTGGGGCTGTCATTTGACCTAGATCTCTGCCCCTGACCTGCTGTGAGATGTTGAGTTCTTTGACTAACCCGCACCTCCGTCCCTAAGGTAAAATGAATAAACCTCCTCTGATCTCCACAGAAGGGGGTGTAGAGGGAATCCAACTGTATACTAGAGGGAACATGACTCACCAGGTAGAAGGTGTTAGGGAACAAGGATGGAGGGTTAACCAGGTATCTTATTAGGCAGCAGGTCTAAGAGAGAGGAGAGGATGAGGAGGGAAAGAGGGAGGGGAGAAGAGATGGTCTCATCTTATCCTCCCAACAGCCCTATGAGGACGGCGCTACATTAATGATCCCATTTGTGCAGGAGAGGTTTAGCACTTAGATTAAGCAGCTTCCCAGGGTTACACTGCTGGCCGGGGGTGGGGCTGTGATTCAGACCGAGGGTGTGGGACACCAGACAGCCCTCGTGGCCAGGCCCACTGGCCCTCCTGCCTATCTTCAGTAAGAGGGTATCTGGGGAAGTAAGGCAGAGGCCACTGAAGTTGTCCAATAGGGAGCAGCTCTGCGCAGTGTGGATGGCAGGTCATGTCACACGAAGTAATGGCCTGTATCATACAGGGATGTCCTCTACAGAAACGTTCACCGGGTGCTGGTGCACCTACAGGTGCATGTGTGATGCCAAAGAGGGAAGAAATAGACGGGTAGAGATCCCCCGGAGTTCACAGATCTCCGACCAGGGCACTCAGTAAAGGTTTGGTCCGAAAAGCAGAAGTCGAAGCACTCTGTTCTCCTTTGTTCAAAGGCATCCAGGGGACCCGGGTGCCAGGATATGTGCTTTCAGGTTCGGGAGCTTACAGATCATTGGTGCTCACAGGTTTAGAAGCCCGCGAGTCTGCCCTGCAGGAGCCCAGGCTGCGGCTCCTCCTGGCCGGGAGGTCAGGGACTGGGAAAAGCGCCACGGGAAACAGCATCCTGGGCCAGAAGCGCTTCCTCTCCAGGCTCGGGGCGACGTCGGTGACCCGGACCTGCGCCACGGGCAGCTTCAGGTGGGCCAAGTGGGACGTGGAAATCATTGACACCCCGGACCTCTTCAGCTCCAAAGTCTCCCAGACAGACCCGGGCTGCGCGGAGAGAGGCCGCTGCTACCTGCTCTCGGCGCCGGGGCCCCACGCCCTGCTCCTGGTGACCCAGCTGGGCCGCTTCACGGCCCAGGACCAGCAGGCCTGGAGTGGGGTGAAGGCGCTGTTCGGGGACGGCATCGTGACGCGCACCATCGTGGTCTTCACCCGCGAGGAAGACCTGGCTGGGGGCTCGCTGCAGCATTACGTGCGCGACACCGAGAACCACGCGCTCAGGGAGCTGGTGGCCGAGTGTGGGGACCGCTTCTGCGCCTTCGACAACCGAGCCGCCGGCGGGAAGCGGGAGGCGCAGGTGATGGCGCTGATGGGGCTGGTGGAGGAGCTGGTGAGGCACCACGGCGGCGCTCCCTACACCAACGACCTGTACAGCCTGGCGCAGGCCCTGGGGGGCGCGGACCCCGCGGAGAGGCTGCGCAGGGTGGCGGAGCGAGTGGCCTTCTGCGAGCAGAGGCGGCGGGAGCGCTGGCCGCTGACCTGGCTGTGGTGGCCCAAGGCGCGGGGGAACTGGCGTAAGCTGGGCGTGTGCACCCTAATGGGCGCCCTGGTCCTGCTCTACCTGCTCTACAGGCACCGGCCAGAGGCCGTGACAGGGTGATATTCAGTTTTGCAGGTAACCTGGCAAGAAAGGAAATGAACACTTGGGTCTGAAGGGGGATTTCAAAGGAATCAGTTTTCAAGAGTTTCATATTTCCTCCAGTAAACAGTTTTAAAATAAAGTTGTGCCATTTTAAAACGTCCTTAAAACGTGTTAGTGAGCTTGATGTTTCGGTCCTCTCTTGAAAAATAGTGGAATGACTGGTGATTTTTAGTAGAAAATGGGTTCATAGCAAAGGGAAAACAGCTATTTTTATTTTGAGCTTGTGTTTGTTTGTTTAGACACTGCCTTCCTCCCTTTGGACTGCTATTTAAAAAAAACAAAAACAAAAAAACACAGACTGCATGGCTTAGAAACCACAGACATTTATTTCTCACACTTCTGGAGGCTGGAAGTCCAAAATCACGGTCCGGTTGGAGGGAGAGCCCTCTCTGAGATTGCAGACTGCCAGCTTCTGGCTGTGTCCTCACCTGGATGGAAGGGGCACTTTGGCAAGGGCACTAATCCCAATCATGAGGAATCTACCCTCATGACCTAATAACCTCCCGCTGACCCCATCTCCTAATACCATCCTCTCCAGATTAGGTTTTCAACATGTAAATGCTGGGGAGGGGGACACAAACATTCAGAGCATAGCCTGCACTCTCTCTTCTTGATGTTTTCTGGTTCTTATGGGTAGATATCTCCCTTCAGTGATCCTTGTAATTTTTTTTTTTTTTTTTTTTGCGGTACGCAGGCCTCTCACTGTTGTGGCCTCTCCCGTTGCAGAGCACAGGCTCCGAACGCGCAGGCGCAGCGGCCATGGCTCATGGGCCCAGCCGCTCTGCGGCATGTGGGATCTTCCCGGACCGGGGCACGAACCCGTGTCCCCTGCATCGGCAGGCAGACTCTCAACCACTGCGCCACCAGGGAAGCCCCTGATCCTTGTAAATTTTTATTATCATCAAGGAAAGAGATGTCACAGTCATACATATTAATGTTTACTTCTGATACATTGGTTTATTTACCAGTACAATGGCTTAGTACCAAGAAGTTAAATGTAACTACACTGAAAATAACACAGTTTCCAACTTTCTAGCATGTATTATGGTTCATGTCTGTCCAAAATGAAGTAAGATTTGGGGAAAATAACATGCAATGTCTTCAATGTAGTCATCTATCTGGATTTTTAAATAATAATAATAATAAAGCGCCTGTCTCAAAATGGAGAAGAGAGGGGTGGCAGGGTCATCGGTAGAGAGCCGCAGAGCACCGGAGGTTAGGTGTGGCTGTACCGTGGGGTTTTTACAGGGGATGGGCCAACCCACATAAGTCTGTGAATGCCAGCCTTCCGTTGTGTAAGCAAACGCTAGGATCTGTTTATTTCCATATTTCTGAATGTGACAGAACACTTTAAAGGAAGTCTTTCTATCAGCCATGTGCTAGTTAGGAGGTGTGGATACAGGAGGAGGCAGATATCCCAATACTACCAGGGCTCAGGGGTGCTAAGGGCCGGGAGGTTGTGCGCAGGCATCCTAGGGCCATCCCAGCTCCATGTGGAGAAGGGGCCTATGCACATGCACTTCAATGCCACCTCGGGTTAAGGGCCTGCAGAGACTCAGGATGACTATGGGCTTAGAGTGGCCTGCAGTTGGGTGGGGGGGGTACCTGAGGGCTATAGTAGTGGGGCAGGGAGTTGGGCTCTGTGAAGCCTGGCTGGAAAAAAGTCCATTATCAATTCCTGCCTTCAGCGTCGTGCTGGGCCCATGCAGGAACTCTCAGCCATGGAGGCACTCTTTCCACACCCTGAGGGCCCCAGGAAGGGGCCGACGTAGCGGAGACCGCCTGTGTCCGCAGCTTGCCCATCCAGGGCCACGTGCGCATGAGTGTGCGTTGTAAGCCAAAGACTTCGCTTACCATGGGGTTGATTGTAACCTGCTTGTTCTTTCATTTTTCGTTTTCTCACGTCAGGGTGTCCACATATGCCCTCCAGTTTCTGTCATTGCTTATTATTTTTGTCTTGTTTGTAAATGGACATGTGATTTTTAAAATAAATATGAGTGTTAGGATTGTAAAATTCTCATGCGGACTGTAGCATATAGAAATGTGTAGGATCAGAGGAAGGCTTGACATCCGTGGGTAAAACACTCTGCTTGGGGCATCACCAGGACCATTGTGGGGGACAGTGGAAAGAGCAGGAGATGTGCAGAGGGCTTGTGTGACAAAGCCGGTCCCCTATGAACTTGCTCCAGGACCTTGGGCACAAGGGGAGTCAGCTTTTCTTGAGATGTATATATTAATGTTAATCCTTATAGCTTTCATGTATGATGAAGTAACATGAGTGAAAGCACTTTGTAGGTTAAATTCCATAAGAATATAGTACAGAAACAAAAAGTCTAAGAAGAAACTTCTCATAATAATAATCCTCATAAATAAATCTCATACTCATAAATACATAAATTTCACACTCATGAATACTCCACATTTATTCTTCATAATAATAACTACTCCACATTATTCTATGTATAGAGTTGGGAGCTAGTGGTAATATAAGGTCAGCATGATTAGTCATCAAATATATTTACAAAGTGCAGTCAAAGTTGTATTTGTTCTCTAAAATATTGCTAGTTTCTAATCCTTAGATTTAGAACTATGCAACATGACTCATAAGTAAATGGGAGACACGATTTTTAGTTTTTAAAATGTAATTTAGGGACTTCCCTGGCGGTCCAGTGGTTAAAACTCCACGCTTCCACTGCAGAGGGCACGGGTCCCATCCCTGGTCGGGAACGAAGATCCCGCGTGATGCGCGGGCAGCCAAAAAAATTTAAAATATATACAATTTAATGTTACACATGTAATACAAGATAGATCGTAAAACAAAATAATATAAGACTGATCATAAAATAGAAAACAGAAGCTGTAGAGAGAACACTATAATATAATAACAATTTATTGCCTTAATATTTTATGATGAAAAATACCTCATGAGGTATGAAGGGTAATTATCATTAACAGCCTTTTATTTGAAGAGGAAAGTAATGTACTGAGAGTCAAGTGATTTTCTAAGGGCAAAACGTGGCAAATCAGAACTGGAACTTATTTTTCCTTATTGTCCTATAGGAAGAGTTTCCTGAACCAGACACAGGGTCAAAATGCTATAACTTCTCAAAAACTGTCTATTTGAGTGAATATATATATATATATACACACATATATATCTTGACTACTTACATGTCCTCTCATTTTCTTTCCTTTTTTTCTCACCTTTTCTTTTATCTCTTCAAGAATAAAAATTCGTTGATCGTGTGCTGATGAAGTTTCTTTCATATTTCCATGCCCTGCTGCCTGGATCAACTGTCATTTTATCTAAAGAGGTTCATATTTGACTTACTGCTGAGAGTTGTTTTTGGTCATGATGAGTTTTTCTTTTTTTTTAATTAATTTATTTATATGTTTGGCTGCACTGGGTCTTCGTTGCTGTGCATGGGCTTTCTCTAGTTGCGGTGAGAGGGGGCTACTATTTGTTGCAGTGCGCGGGCTTCTCATTGCAGTGGCTTCTCTTGTTGCGGAGCACGTGCTCTAGGCACGCGGTCTTCAGTAGATGTGGCTCACAGGCTCTAGAGCGCAGGCTCAGTAGTTGTGGCACACAGGCTTAGTTGCTCCACGGCATGTGGGATCTTCCTGACCCAGGGCTCGAACCGATCTCCCCTGCATCAGCAGGCGGATTCTTAACCACTACGCCACCAGGGAAGCCCCCAAGATGAGTTTGTCAAGCAGAAGATTTCAAACAATGCATTCTCTCTTACGTAGTCTTGTACAATATTCATTATTGTACAATATTCAATTCTTGTACAATATTCAATATTCATCACCTGGCTGGGCAGATGCCACTACGCCTTCCAGAGAATATCCTATGGATTGAACTCCCTAGAAGAGGAATTCCTGTAACTCCTTGGGGAAGCCAGAGCTAGACTATGACCCAAGACTCTTTTTTTCTGCCCCGGGAGCCTTCATCTGATAGTGGCAATGTTTGCCTTTTCTTATACAAC